ACTTTATACTGTTTTAACTGTCTTGAAATGTTTTAACTGCTTCCTCTTATTTTAAATATTATATGTATGTATTTTATTGAGTCAGAGACCACAAAATTAAGATTGACTGATGGTATATAATATTAATATAAAAAACAATGTATAGGCAATTTACCTTTTATTTTATATTGTTTTAACTATCTTGTAATGCTTTAATTGCTTCCTCATAATATAAATATTATATATATGAATTTTAATGGGTCGGAGACCGCAAATAAAGATTGATTGATTGATGGGGTGAGAGTATCGGACTGCGACTTGATCTCACACTTAAGAGGAGAGCTACCTGTATAACATTTGTGTACAATTTTGACCTGAATATAGAATTTGCTGGATTTGGACAATAATGCAAACTGAGGATTATACTTCTAGTTTTCAGAGGTAAAAGCAAAGTATGGTGATATACCACTCCATAGTTCTTAAAGCACTCTCTGTGCGGTTTACAGTTTGTAATTTTATTATTCAGATGACCCATTGCCCCTCCCCCCGTAAGCTGGGTACTCAATTTATCGACTGCAGAAGGCTGAAATGCTGAGTGAACCTTGAGCCCGTTACTTGGGACTGAACCCAGGTTGTGAGCAGAGTTTTGGCTGCAGTACTGCAGTTTAACCACTGTGCTGTGGGGCTCCTTAAATTGAATACACCTCCCATAATTCTTTGCAACTGGATATGCTGACTGAGGCTTATGAGAGTGCACTTTAACCACTGTGCTGTGGGGCTCCTTGAATTGAATACACCTCCCATAATTCTTTGCAACTGGATATGCTGACTGAGGCTTATGAGAGCTGCATGCAGTTCAAAGGCATTTGGAGGACTCCATTTCTTGCTGCAAACTTAGTGACCTGGCTTGGTCTCACTCTAGGTGGCTAAACAAATAACTACATAAATTATTTGAATTAAATTATTTTTCCACGGCTCCTGACACTAGGGCAAGGAGCAATGGTTTCAAACTACAGGAAAAGAGATTCCACCTGAATCTCAGGAAGAATGTCCTGACCCTCAGAGCCGGTTGGCAGTGGAATAGGCTGCCTCGGAGGGTGGTGGAGTCTCCTTCTTGGGAGGTTTATAAACAGAGGCTGGAGGGCCATCTGTCGGGAGTGCTCTGATGGATGTTCCCGTATGGTGGTGGTGGGGGGTTTGGACCCGATGGCCCCTGTGGTCTCTTCCAACTCTGCGATTCTATGAAAACCTTTTATGAATAAATAATCAGTCAGCAAAACAAGCTTTTGAAGTTCTTGAATTTTTTTTCCCTAGCTAAAAATCTATCATGAAATGTGTAGGTTTAATTTAATGTAACACTTGTTTATTTTAAACTTTTCGCAGCTTACAAAAGTTCACCCTGGCTTGTGGTATTGGAAAGAAGAAACTCAGACTCTTGAATTTGTAAGGTACGTATCCGGTTTCTTTCTGTGACTTCCTATTTTATCCATTGTCAAAGGAAATTTTTATATTTCATTAGCGGGTTTTTTTAGACTGTCTAGATGGGCATTTAGCCCATTATTTAGAGCACTTGTAGGGACAGGCCACTGCACTCTTGAAGACGTCTTTGCTAGAACACACCAGTCTGTGTCCGGAGCATTTCTACCCACTGCATTCTAGCCTCTGTCAAGAGGGTTCTACTTTTCTGGTGCAGGCAGGATTGCTCTGGTTTCATCAGTTTTAGCACATGTGATAGCTGGAACCCATCCAAAGCCAGCCTTCCTCTTATTATTTGCCAATCTTCTGACATGGCTTAATAAGTGAGCCACTTCATGATATTGGCAAATTAATCACTTCCCCTGTTTGGAAAATGCTAGGGGAAGTGATTTTTTTTAATGATATGTAAACTTCTACACTGATTAGCTACATCAGTTTTAAAAAGTAAAAAAAAATTTTTTTTTTCTTTGCATCATCTTACATGGCCAGTGGAGAAACAGCCCACAGTCTAATCCATGGCAGTGGCTTAAGCTGCAGGCAGTTTCTTGAGGGAGAAGCAAATGCTTCATCTGCCACTTCTATGTGAATGATCAGGCTTCGTTAGATCGTTTTAATCAAGCCAAGTTTTCCCAAGCAACCAGCACTAGCTTGACCTCTGCTGCTACTGTAGCTGTATCCTTTGTTATTTTAAAACTTCATTTTTAATGGTCTAATTTACAGGACTCTGTACTGCATTAAAAGCAGAGTATAAGCCATGAATAAGCCCAACAAAAGTGGTTCAGTCAGAAACAGAGCAGCGCTGGAGGATCAGTCCTCTGTGGTTTGGATGCAGATGGCTCTGCCCAGTGCTGACTGGTTGGATCCACCTAGATGTCACTGTGATCATCCCTTTCCACCCTAACGGAGAGCAGGACTTACTGGGATCCTTGTGCGTACTGTATTATAAAACAAGTTTCTCTTCCATTCTTTCCTAAAAGATGTAGAGTTCTTTTAAAAATATTTTTTAAAAGCGATCCTTAGCTGGAACATCTCTTCCAGAGCAATTTTTGGGGTGTGTTTTCTGTGCTAATTCACTGAACATTGAAAGCACCCTGAATTTGTAACAGTGAAAATAAACATAATGGGAAGTGCCATGGGGCTGACTTTGCCCAGTTCTGCAACAGATTGCAGCAGCAGCAACAAAAACTATCGTATAGAAGAGGAGAAAAACAAGTGGAGGAAGCCAGGGATTCTGTAACCCTTTTTAAACAAAGAAAGCCTCCTGCAGGTGGGTGGGTGGTGGGAAGGATACTGACAACATCCGTGATAAAAGCAGGGGGCTTCAAGGAACAAATGCTTCATCTGCACATGCCCTATGCATGTCTGGTGTACAGATGGGCTATGGTCGTCTAGCTGGGGGAACTGTATATGTTGCTCTATACTAGCAAGATTCCTGAAAGTCCCCCTGGACTGCAAAGAGAACAAACCTGTTCTGAAGGAAATCAACCCTGAGTGCTCACTGGAAGGACAGATCCTGAAGCTGAGGCTCCAGTACTTTGGCCATCTCATGAGAAGAGAAGACTCCCTGGAAGAGACGCTGATGTTGGGAAAGTGTGAAGGCAAGAAGAGAAGGGGACGACAGAGGACGAGATAGTTGGACAGGGTCATCGAAGCATGAATTTGCTTCGAAACATGAATTTGACCCAACTCCGGGAGGCACTGGAAGGCAGGAAGGCCTGGCGTGCTCTGGTCCATGAGGTCACGAAGAGCTGGACACGACTTAACGACTAAACAACAACAGCTATCAAGACAGCTGTGCCTTCTGGCAACCCTGTGAAGTGCTCGGCACTTGCAAACTACAAATTTCTTTTGTTTCTCTCTTTCAGCGCTCAGCCCAAGGAGGAACCCAAAGAAACTAAGGAGAAGACAAAGAAAGGTGGCAAGACCATTCATTTTCAGGAGCCTGGAGCAAAGCCACTGGAGAGGTGCTTCAATTTGGGGAGGGGAAAAACATAAGCAGAGTTTCAACTACACACCCAAGGCCTGTGATCTTGGCACATGGCTGTCAGTTAGGGTGCAAAACATTCTGGACAGACCGTTCCCATCTGGTTGGAGTGAGGTGACCAGAACTTGGGAAAGTAACTGTATGAGACCAAAACTGCCAGCCTCTGGCTATTCAGGGACCTATACTCTAAAAGAGTAACTTTGCTGGACGAAGTCCTAACTTTCATCCTGTTCTCTCCTGAAAAGGAGTCAGGTAGCAGGTGCTGGGAAACGTCATCCTCTTTTTTTAGACTCGACTCAGAATGAAAGTAGACTAGCCAGACAATTAATCTCGTGTTATATAAGATAGCTTTCCCAATGGCGTTGATGCTAATTATTTCCACTAGTGGCATGCTGTTATTATTTTCTTTTGCTCATCGGTGAATAGAAATTATATTTTGGTTTTGAGGATGTATTTTTGATTTTCTGTGTGGGACAAGGCAGCCGACCTTAAGTGTACCCTTCTAGGGCAATGCACTGTCAATCCCTTCGTCTACTACTATACTTTTAGCATCATGAGTTGTTCGCCTTTTTACCTATTCTGCCCTAGCATGGGAAATGGAATGTCTTGGGCCGTCTCTGTTCCTGGTGAAGCCTGAACATACCTGGGCCACCTTTTGGCCCTGCAGCCATTTTCCTGACTATAAAATGGGAACGGTCCCAATCAACATCACAGATAATTTTGCTGAGGTTTATGCATACAGGGTGCATAGGTGGCAATTGTTTCTTAGGAGCAATTCTTAAGGATCCTTAGAAGCAACACCCTCTTTAGTTGATCCATTGAGGACCTTCCATTTTCTCCCCTAAGTGGGGAGCATGACAAAGTGTGGGGGAAAGAGAAAAGGTGATGTCAGAAAGAGAGAGAAATGTGGGTAGTGTAAAAAAAAAAAAAGGAATAGGATCTTTATTTTTTTTGTCTCTGGCAGTCTTCACTGTAGGTTTCAGCTCTGTCCACTTGCTAACATGTGGCTTTCACAAGAGTGAATGTGGCCTTAGAAAGAAGTACTGAATTTTTCCATTTATAAGACACCCCGATGTATATATATAACAGCCCTCCCCCCCCCAAATTTTGAGCCCGAGTACCCAAATCAGTGGCCACCCTCCAGGCCGGCACATAATCCAGAGGGCGTACAGGAGATGCCTTTTCCCCCTCCCCAAATATAGCCCTTTGCCTGGGCTTCCTGTACTCCATTCCGCTCGCTCGCTCTCCTGCAGTGCCAGAGTTGCAGTCAATGGGCAGCAGCGATTTTGCATCAAGGGGCAGCGGGGCACCACTCCTCCATTGCCTCCTGCTGCTGCTGCTGTCGCCATCTGATCACCACCTCTAGCGCCACTCGCGGGCTCCCTTCGGGCGGGGGACAAGGCAGCAGATTGAGCTTGAGTTGAGCCCCAGAAGCGGGTGGCGTTGTGCTCTGCACCAGGCTGGCATGGGCAGCAGCATTGGCATGGCTTGCATGCCCACAGAGAGGTTCGACTTATTTCCGTGTATAAGATAACCCTTAATTTTTAAAAGTAGCGTCTTATACATGGAAAAATATGGTAATACGGATGGGACCTCTGGATTTTCTTTGGACTCCAACTGCAAGAAAATCTCCGAGAATTTGTCATGCAGAATTCTGGGAGAAGCAGCTCAAATGCAGAAGTCTTCAGACTCCAGCTTGTCTTATTTCAGTGGGTGCCTCCTTCGGCTTAGTTCTCCATTTAAAAACAAAGAAACAGCCCAGTACTTCCTGGGAGTCACACGGTGGAATCTGGAAGGAGTTGTCTCTATAGAGCAGTGGCCTCCCAACCTTGGGCCTCCAGATGTTCTTGAACGACAACTCCCAGAAGCCTTCACCACCACCTATACTGGCCAGGATTTCTGGGAGTTGAAGTCCAAGAACATCTGGAGGCCCAGGGTTGGGGACCACTGCTATAGAGGGCTGTTCCCAAAGAGCCACTCTTCCAGGAAGTAAGGTTGCCAACCTAGAAGCAAGCCCAACATTACTACACACTCTGACTGGCAGCTCCTCTAGAGCAAATTTTTTTGTAACACCGGCTGTGCGAGTCTTCTGCCATCAATTACCTCTGTTTTAATTAATTAATCTCTTCCCAAACCAGCTCTCAAGTTATTCTTTGCTTTCACTTTGTCTTTTGAGGAACCCCAACTTTTTACTTTTTTTTTTTTGCTCCAGTGAGAAGATGCAGAAAAGCCATAAACAACCCTTTTATCACAGAAGGACCACCCTGTGTTTGCATCTGTGCCTCGGCAGGCTGTTAAATTGGCAAACGTGACTCAGGAGCTTGACTTTCTCTTAGGTGGGAAATGCAGCAATGGATAAAGATAATGAGTTTCTCTTAGGGCAACGAACCCAAGAGATGCCAAGTGGAAAGATATTTGAACACACTAAACTGAATTTTTAGGGGCTGAATTTTGCCCTCTGAAGTCTTTGTTTTCCAGATAATTTAGATCAGTGGTCCCCAACCTTGGGCCTCCAGATGTTCTTGGACTACAACTCCCAGAAGCCTTCACCACCACCTCTGCTGGCCAGGATTTCTGAGACTTGGAAGTTCAAGGACATATGGAGGTCCAAGGTTGGGAACCACTGCTCTAGATGACCTAGAAGTGGTGCTTTTTGTCCTTTAAAGTGGAACATAAACTTTGTCATCTTCAATCTTATATGTAGGCCAAGTCCTAGTATGTTCCGAGATTTATGTGCTCTAAGACCTCCTACCGTAGAGGACAAATCACCTCGACTAGCGAAGCGGGGACAAAATGAACTGATCACATTAGAAGATGTTAAATGTAAGTAAATGTGAGTTTTAGTGTTGAATATCTGGTTAATTTACAGAACATACTGTATAACTCATTGATCTTATGGAACATACCTGGGATTGTTTTAGGATATTCTGATTCAGAGGCATCCTGAATTAACAAGTCATTGTCTATATAGCCTAGATCAGTGGTTCTTAACCTTTGTTACTCGGATGTTTTTGAACTACAACTCCCAGAAACCCCAGCCAGCACAGTTGGTGGTGAAGGCTTCTGGGAGTTGCAGTCCAAAACTCCTGAGTAACCCAAGGTTAAGAACCAGTGGCCTAGATGATGTGTACCAAAGAATAATAAAAGGAAAGCACAGAAATACAAATTTTCCTTCTTACTCAAATAGCTAAGTCCTTTTCTTATCCAAAGTCAGGACCATCATCCACTAAATGTCTCTTTACATAAAATTTTGTAGCACAGACCAAATCAAGATGTAGCTGTTTGAGAGAAGGATGCCCATTAGCAGTGGTGTAATGGAGCCAGGGCTTGCAGGGTTGAATCCCTGGGGATTTCTGAGTAGCAGGGGCTGTGTGATCATCCGATACACCCCCCTGGCTTCCCTGTTCTATCTGATCTTAGCTGCAGTCCTCACAGTAACTGGTGGGGGGGGGGAGAGAAATGAATCTTGCCTGGGATAGGATATTGTTGCATGGGATCCCTTTTGTAATGCAAAGGGTTTAATTGTGAAGAAGCCAGTTAAGGTTCTTCAGCTTTACAAATGACTTGCTCCTCCTAGCAACAAGTTCAAGAATGCCTTTTGCTGTCTATATTTTTGGACTTTTCGTGAGGAAAGCCGGGCTATGGGGATTGTCATGATGAGTATCTGTCCTTCCAGCTTTTACCACTGAACCACAGCCCATTGAGCAGATGACTAGACTTGAGTAAAGCAAGAGTGCCAAGCTACTGCATCACAGGGCAGGCGGGAGAGCATGCATTACACCAGGGTGTCGACATCCTCTTTTAGACTCCCTTCATATAATATTGTCAGATGTTGTATTGTTTCTACTTCCATTGAAAGACAAACCAAACATTAAGGTGTTAAGGAACAAAGCTCTTGACGAACCTTAGGGTTTAAAAAAAAACACACACATGAATGATCCTAGATGCATGGAGGTGATTCCGTTTCAGGGTTAGGATTGTAGGCTTTTTTCTCTCTCTCTCTTAGTGTTTTGCTTCTTCTTTGTGGTCTCTGCAATTCCCACAATTAGTTTCCTATGCACTTGAACAGGCATTATTCAGGAATATTCCAGAGCTTTAGGGCATTGCTCCACCTGCACCAGTGCACATGCTCCCCCACCCAACAGCTGCTCCTGGGTGGCCTCTCAGCCATGGCTGAGGCAGTGCTTTGTGAGCGCTCATTAATTATTATTAATGATTAAGAATACCAATAAGAAAAGAGTTCTAGCCTTCATGGCCAGAGCAAGTCAGAAATGGAAAACCGTCCAGTCATTCCTGCTGTGCATGAATAAAAAATTGTGTTAGAATGGACAAAAGCCTTCTCTGTGCTGGCTGGGGTCGATGGGAATTGTATTCCAACACTTCTGGAGGGTATGGGTCTTTGGAAGATTGAGACATAGTAGAGGTAAGCAAACTCCGGGAGGCTGTGGAAGACAGGAGGGCCTGGCGTGCTCTGGTCCATGGGGTCACGAAGATTCAAACACGACTTAACGATTAAACAACAAAAACAAGAGGAAAGCAAAGTGCAGGTCTGCAGGTGCAGCTCCCATCAGCCATTGGAGATAGACTGGAATGCTGGGATATGTAGTCTGGCAACGCCTGCAGGCCACCTGGGATTGTCAGTCAAACTAGGGCCGAGATCTCCATTCTGATGCCCACTGATCTGGGGCAAGTAATGACTGGAGGGTGCAGATCTGTGCTTTTTGAACTACAATATAGCTACCAGAATGTGCCAGACAACATGGCTGTCTTGGTGATTCTGGGAAACACGATTTGCACAACTCTAGTAATGACCTCCCAGATGACCTTACCGATCTGGTGGTCCATCTGAGATCATTGGGGGGAACGTTAGGATGTAAAGCCAGGCTAAAAGAATGATTTCCATTAGTTCAGTGACAGACACTTTACCGGACTGGGTGGGAAAGCAGTATTACAGCTTTTAATGCACATTTTCTCTTATTTGGACATTTTCAGATGCTGCTTTGTTCCTGGCCCATGAAGATGAATCCTTTAATGTCCCTTCTTTCTCCGTAGTTATGAGGTACGCCCTCTGATTTTCTTAAAACAACGCGTTGTAAGACAAACAGGAAGCCGGATGCTAATATAGGAATTATGAAATCCTGCCTTTTCAGTCACCACAATTTGACTTTCACGGAGCCAGATATATCATACCTTAGTAGAAGTGACAGAGATCCTGTCTCTCCCAACATTTAGGGAAATGCCCTGGGGATTTTCGTGTGGTTGTTTTGTGCTCCATTTCCACTCCAAGGATAAAATGCTTTATATGGCAGTGGTCACTCAGCTGGGGAAAATGTCTGCCATTCATATGAAGTCACTAAATAACTTGAGGCGTGTGTTGGTTATTGGGCTAATACTTTGTGAACACCCATAGTACAACATAAGACGTATGAACCCTTTAGAGCAGTGGGGCAGCCCACAAGCTTCATATAGCTCTTCCAGGATCCCAAGGTAACTGAAACCCCCAAAAAAGGTCCCTCCTGGTCCTAAAATATCTGGCCAGAGAATGTGGTGAAGTTGCCTGCACCCTCTCTATTGGGCAAGTGTTATTTTAAAGTTGAAAACAAATAATTCAAAAAATTTTGAAGTTTTGGGGGTAGCTGCCTGAGGTCTGGGAGGACAGGAAGCCTTCAGACCTAAGGAAATTATCCCCCACCCCCGCCATTCAGTTCCTTTTTATTTTCATCAAATCTTTCTTCCATGGTGTGCAAGGTGATGCACATTATTGTCATCCACAGTTTATATTCACAACAGCCCTCTGAGGTAGGCCAAGCTGCAAAAGGGCTATTTTGTTAAGTAATAATCTTAGAACTGCAGAGCTGGAAGGGACCCTGTGGATCATGGGAGTCCAGCCCCTATCAAGGAGGCACAAGTGGCGGAAATCAAACTCTGAACCTCTGGCTCCACAGCCAGAGACCTAAACCATCTATTGGTGATGACGTTGCTTCGTGAGATGCCATGTTGTATAGATGCCATCTTTCATCGCAGCTGCCAACCAGTTTTAAAGGAGCAGGGCTTTTGTGCATACTGACTGGCAGCACCTACCCTTCTCTTTGCCCCATAATCCTGCCCCACACGGACAGCTGAACAAAGGGGGCCGGCTCCTGAAGGGGTAAAAATCAACCATGCCCATTGAGTTGGTGGCCATTTTTCAAAACATACTTACCTACATTAAAACAAGAACAGATTTCTTCAGAGAGAAAAAGAGTGCAAATGGGAGTCGTCTAGACGTGCCACCCTTCCTTGTGCCCGCTGTGCTGGTTTTGCAGCTGCCTACGTTGCCACCATTATCCAAATTATCCTGCGAATAATTAAGCTGAAGGGAATGTGTGTTCTGTGCCTTGGAAACCATGGATAAGGGTCACCCAAGGTCAGAACCAACATGATGGCACCCAATTATTATTATTATAGATGTATTTATATGAGTGAAAGTATGGGGAAAGGAAAAGCTTGTGAACCCATAAAGGATAACTCAGAAGAAGGTAGACGCCCTTTTATAGTGAGCAGGATGTAACAAAACAAAAAACACAAAAAACACATACACAACCTGAACCAAGTAGAAGCTTTCATGATCATGTCTACTTGTGTGACGTGTTTTTTTTAATTTGCTCTAGGTGTAAGCAGCTAGATGATTTCCTTATGGCTCTATTGTACTATATCTCTTTTTATCTGGAAAAGATAGCCCTGGAGATGAAACCCAAATCTTTTATGGGGTAAGTGAAATTGCTTTTCTCTATGTCCTGAGAAGCTCCCTAGAACCGATTCCCAAATATAAGACTTTGCAGGCACACAGCCTGGAAAAGGAGATTTTGTTTGGTTGAGATTTTGGGTGGGTGGGTGAGTAGGATGGAGGAAATCAAGTCCCAGAATCTATGCTGGCTGGATAATTTAGGGATTGAAGTGCAAAAAACGAACGATTTCAGAAATAGAACTTTTCCCCAGCACTGAAAGACTGTTAATGCCTAAGAATGCCAGTTAAAAATACCTCAGGTTGGGAAGTGGCGGTGGTGGGGTTGCTTGATCCCTCAGAAACTTCCTGCCAGTTGGAGTGGACAGTGCTAGGCTTTTAGGGCCCAGCACAATCAGAAGCTGTTTCATGTGCCTTGGGAACAGTTTGCAAGCTCCGTGAGCCTTTTAAGACCAGGGTTTGTTATTCTTTGTGATGGGTGGCCCCATTCCAGAGTAAAACATATGGCTGAAGTTCACCTTTGAAGTCCCACACAGCTTCCTGGAACTCCACCCATCCACTTTGCATCTTCCCATTCCATCCTGGCTTCATTCATTGCTCAGATGGTTTCCGGCCTCATCCTCTGTAAGGAGGTTGAAGCCAACACCTCTTAGTGTTTTCAGGTCAGTCTTTCCCCTCCTTCGCCGAAGTTCAGTTCTGCAAACCTTTGGTTTCTGGGAACCTGTCCCCGCACTTGTTAGTTGTGGCTTTCACGAGATCACGAAGGCTCAGGTTTTCCATGCTAAGTTGTATCATAAAGCAAGTATTGTTCAAACTCCATTCACTGATATTTAAAACACACACACTCTTTGGCACGGAGTACTGTGGTAGGGTTTCATGTCAATGTCTTATCTTTTTCTAAACCCGTTGAAGTTTCCAAGGCTGAATTTGGTCAGTGTACTGAAAACAGGATGCCATTTCCATTTTCTGCCTCTTGCTTTGCAAAAAAATATTGTGGGATGTTTTTGTCCCAATGGCGGGTGGAGGGGGGAAATTTTTTTGCAAAAAGGAGAATATTTGCTAGGGCACATTTGTGGTTCCAAAATGGTTCGCAGCAAATGGCTAAAACTTTGGGACATACATTACACCTGCTCAAATGACAATTCCGCAGAGCGCTGATGCTCTTAAGTCTAGTTCAACATGGAATCTACAACAAAATGTGATTCAGAGGGGGCAGGGTTTATTTCTGGTAAATAAGGGTTGAATTGGTAGATGCCTTATCTGGTGAATGGTCCCAACTTCTGCCCTTTTGGTTTTGATCTTTGAGCTGGCCCTGATAGTGCTCTCAACAACATCAGCATGAACGTTTCCTTCCTTATTCTGCGGATGCTCCTTGCTTGTGTGTATGGCCTCCTCCAGCCTGTTGCATTACCTGATCTGTTAATGATAGCCTTGTGCAGAATGTCGCTGCTGACATGATTTAAGTCTTCCTTGGCAACCCGAGGTGTGCCGTCCCAGCCCCTGCCCGACAGATTTTTTTTGCTCTAACCTTTTAAGTTATTCCAGTTTCTTTTTCCTGTTTTGTTTCCCTTTGCTTGTCCATCAGAAAGCCCAGTGCCCTGGAAAAGAAAGAGATAAAGCAGAATCAGATTAACCTGGCCGTGACCAAAAAGCACCTGGCTGAGGTGTACTGCATCCTTATCCTTGGACTAGGAATGTCGGAGCAACACCACATGTCGTGTGGAAAGTAAGGCAATGGCCGTCACTCGAGAATGCATCCTTACAGTCACAATCAAAAGCCACTGTATAAGCTATTCCATCTTTTCCTGCTTAATGAGTTTTTTTTTTAAATTAAAAGATATGAAGAGCAGTGGGAAAACATGGAAGGGTTACTAGAGGAAGATGTGGTTTAGCCTTTGGAAAAGGGAGCAACAAAGCCCAGATTGTGTCAGCCAGCATGACTATGCTGTCTGTGGAATTGTGGGAATTGTAGTCCAAAATGTATGTACTTTCTTCCAGATCCATAATACTTAAGGGTACTGAAGAACTGGTCATGCTGATTGAGGGATTCTGGGAGCTGTATGCCAAGGGAGTAATTTTCTCAATCTCTGATGTATCATTGATAGAAAGAAAGGCAGTCAGATATTAATTTTGGGGTGGATAGACAAATCCTATACTACCTGGAAACCTTGACTGACACTCAGATCTGATGTTTTGTGTCTTGACTTGGAAGCAAGTTCCATCAAGTTCAGAGGTGCTTGCTTCTGAATAAGTATGCATAACTTGCCGATAAATAATCAGAAGGGGTCTGTGCAGGACAGCAGTCTTAAACAAAATCAGGGTGGGGTAATACCTCTGATGTACTAAAATATCCTAAAAAGGCAAGCTTTCACATTCTTAGGACTCATCATCATGCTGGATATTGCAGAGACTGGGGTAAGAGGAGATAATAATATACTATTATTATAAGCTGCTCAGAGTGGTCGATTTGACCAGATGAGCGGGATATAAATCAAATAAATAAATATAAAATAATATAATCAGCTGCAAATCTATGGAATAACACCATCAGAGATGCGGAAAATGGCAATATTAGGAATAGCTTACATATTGCACTATTTCACTAATACTTAGGTTTTTGGTTAAAACTTTTATTTCGTAAATCATACCAGACTGTGCCTTGTTTTTTAATAATTATCATCATCATCATCTGGTTGGTTACATTTGGAAAAGTATATATAACTGGCAGGACTATTGTGAACCAGATCTGTATTTGTCTAGTGCAGAAAGTTCATTGTGGATTGCCTTATTGTTTAGCTGGAAATGAACTCGTGCAAGGGCAGTCTGGATGTGCTATCAGTTTTGCAAAATATGGGAGATAATTGAGCATGGATGGGAGATGAGGTAGATTCTCTCTGTTAGCACATGCCAGAAGGGAGGCTTGTGCTCTTTAAGGCTATAGATTGCCAGACTGAAAGCAAAGGTTGCGCTAAAACACGGGAACAACTGATGGTCTGCTTAGCTGAGATGACTGGAGCTGAAGAAGCAGGGCACAGCCTTTGAAATGGGTGGGACTCGTTCCAGCGAGGCTTTAGTTGGGGATCACAGCAAGCTTGGCAGGATCACAGAGGAGTGTTTGTTAGTCCCTTCTGACCATGTTTTACTGCCCTCTGAATCATCACGGATTCCAAAGCCTTGCGGTTTCCGATGGTGAGCTGGGATACAGCAGTCTGTTTGCCAGCTCGCCATCCCATAATCCTCCCAGTAACTTTCTGTGCACTACTGAATCCTGACAGATGAGCGATGGCCTGTTCTGCAGGATTTTATCTCAGGCCCAGCTTCCTGGCCTGCTGTAGCAAGCAAGCATGATTCTAAGAGGGCCAGATTTGAGGGGTTAGGGTGAGAGAAATACGAGGTATAAGGCTAGGGTAAAAAACGTAAAGAAGAAAGCAAAACTGCCAACTGTGTCAGAAATGTAAAAGTACAGAGGGGACTACTGGGTTTTTCTGCTGGCTTAGATGTGGTGTCACCTTCCTGACTTGCTGTAGCAAGCAAGCATGATTCTAAAAGGGCCAGATTTGAGGGGGGTAGGGTGAGAGAAATATGAGGTAGAAGGCTAGGTTAAAAACTGGAAAGAAGAAAGCAAAACTGCCAACTGTGTCAGAAATGTAAAAGTACAGAGGGGACTACTGGGTTTTTCTGCTGGCTTAGATGTGGTGCCTGTTGCCCTTTCATTTGTTCCCCTTCTGTGAGTTGTTTTAATTGTGCAACAGTCCAGCTTGTTCATGGATCCATGTGAGGGTCCAAGTTAGAAGTACCAGTATTTTTCGCTCCATAAGACGCACCTTTCCATAAGACGCACCAGTTTTTTAGGAGAAGAAAACAGGAAAATATAATCTGTTTTCTTCACTCCATAAGACACACAGACTTTCCACCCCCCTGTTTTGTGGGGGAAAGTGCGTCTTATGGTGCAAAAAATACGGTAATACCCTCTAGTTCTGCCCACCTTCATCACTTTTATCTTCCCACATAAAATCTGTTGGGCAAAGACAGCATCGCTTTGCAACGCCATTTGATCAGTTGCACTCGGAGCTTCCCGTCTAGAAACAACCGCAGGCATTTGGGTGGGGTAGGTTTTCTGGATGACGAGGAAAAGCAGCAGAAAAAGTTTCATCCATTGCATTTCTGCCTATGCAATTGCAGTTGAAGGAACAGGAGTAGGCGAGTAAATGAAATGAAAATAAAGGGGGATGAATGGAGGCGTCTCAAGGGTGTGTGCAAATGAAGACCTTAGGTGGAACTAGACAGCACGCTTTAGACAGCCAAATAGGAAGTCCCAGTCTGGATTGCGCTAAACAGGGTCACTTAAGACTGCATAGAGGTGTGGTATGCCATTTGGGAGGAATCTTTCATCCGCTTACAAGGATTGGGTGATACTGAGGCAGGAAAGCATGGTGCGCTTCAAGGGACTTTGTTTTAGCTTCCCCCCCCCAAAGGGAAAGAAAAGCAAAACAAAAATACTGCTCCATATTCTCTCTTGTGTCCCCTTCTGTGGTGGACCGTGGGAAAGCTGCAATTTAAAAAAAAATTCTTTGTAAGTGGCATAGCACTGATTTGGCTTGCCACCCAATCAATTCAGCAGTGGATTGTACAGGATTTTTAAAAAACAACAAAAGCCTCTGCATCCTTTTCTGTCTCCCCTTCAGGGTTTGGAAGCAGGAGGGAGGCTTCAAATGTTTTAATAAATGGCATACTTTCCACCTCTGTTCAATCATTTCCACCTCCGTGTTGTGGCTTAAGTGAAATGGCAAGAAAGTAGTCTGCTTTGGTTTGATACCATCGATCATACACGCTAGAACCAAACCAAAACAGAGCAATCCTACCAACAATGAAAAAAAAAAACAGTAGCTCATGACAGGGACCCAAAAAGGTGTGGATAGGCATGGATCAGGGAAGGACTGGTTCACAATTGTACGTATGTCATGTGATCACTGGAAAAAAGAGTGAATCTGTCTACAGTATTCCCAAAGCAGACCAAACCATGAGACAAACTACCATTTGATTGCACCCTTTGTTGGCTGCAGGTGTTTGTTTTCCTGCATGTTTGAGATTTTAGCTTTTCCCATGTTATCAGTGAGATTTCCAGAGAAGTAGCTGTGTTGTCTCATCAAAGGGTTTTCACAAGTGAAATATTCAGAAGTGGTTTACCATTGCCTTCTGCCACGCAGTACTTGAGCTTGAGTGCTTGTAAAAGATTCTCCACCAGTGTCACCTTCCACTACGGCTGCTGCCCAGTACATGCCCTCCAGGAGTGGCTCCATCACCATTGGAACTACAGTGGTGCCCCGCATAGCGACATTAATCCGTTCCGAATTAATCGTCGCTCTCTGGAAACATTGCTAAACGGAACTAAAAACCCCATAGGAACCCATTAAACTTCGTTTAATGCATTCATATGGGACGAAAACTCACCGTTCAGCCATTTTCGCCACCTCGGTAAGCGAGGAAACTGCGCGAAAATGCTTGCGGCGGCCATTTTGGGCAGCCAGCGGCCGTTTTGGAACCGCCGATCAGCTATTCTAAAAACATCGCAATGCGAAGATCGGTAAGCGAAATGCTTACCGATCATTGCAATGCGATGTTTTCCCATTCAAAATAAAAAATAGATCGCTATGCAGATTCATTGTTAAACGGTGCGCTCGTTATGCGAGGCACCACTGTATCTACTTCCTTCTGCTGATGGAATTGTTAATCCTGAAGAGGGTGGGTGATTGGTTCCTCAGATTCGATCATTCTGCTTTGAGTGGTCCTGCTAGGAGCCCAGACTTATCATGAAATCTAGCCTCCCGATGGCATTGCTTTTGGTTTCCCTGACACATTCAAACTCTGTCACCATGTTAAGGCATTAATCCAAGAGAGGCAATCAAGAGAAGACAAGTCTCGCTGGAAAAGACAACAATGCCAGGAAAAGTTAGGCAATAATAATTGCATGCCGTCAAGTTGGCTTTGACTTATGGCAACCCTTTCCAGGTTTTTCTAGGTAGAGAATACACAGAATACACAACCCCAGATTGTGAGACAGATTGACTCTATAAAGGAAGTCACAGTCCTGAGTTTGCAAGGCGTGAACAGAGCTGTTAAAGAGAGGACATTTTCAAGGTCACTTGTTCATAAGGTTGCTATAACATAACAACAAGCTTTGTCGATCATCTAATGTTGGAAAAGAAGTCATCTTGTTGTACTTCAGAGTCTAACAACGTTGATGTGACCTAAGCTTTTGTGGATTGGTACCCTCTTTGGAGGCATAGGTTACAACCTTAGTAGACAAAGATTTTTCTCCCTCTTGCATGTATCCATGTGCTGTGCTTTGTCTGTACTGGGATGCACCTGTCGGCCTACCCTTCAATGATCTTTGAATGACTGCAAATGGCTGTTAACCATTACAAACTCTACCAGTCACACAGCCCCCAGGACTGTAAATGATCCTTAGTTAGTTAGTTAGGCATCCTTCAGTCTTGAAAGACTATGGTAACGTGCTCTGCATGGAGGACTTGGAACAGCGTCTAGTGTGGCTGAGGAGGCCAATTCGAGAGTGACAATCTCTTCCACAATGAAGACAAATCCAATCGGTCCCCTGTCCAGCTCCCCGGTTTTGCTGCTTTTGTGAATTCATCTTTGCATTGGCCTGCTGGACAAGGGTCTCTTCAAATTGGGAGAGGCCGTGATGCAATGCCTGCCTCCAGGCTG